TTGTAAAATAAGTCATTATATTCATTTGTAACAAATTTATTATTGATATTTTAAATGAATTAATAAGTTAATTTATACATTTTTCTAAGTCTTAATTTTTAATATGGCAAATATTTGCACGTTAGCCACATAAACAAAAGCTCTTTTCTTTGGAGTCTTTGTTACTTTGAGGAAAAACGGGTTTTTAGGACAAAATGTTTGAGAACTGCTGACCTAAATGAAGCAAGTCTGTTGTGAAAATCATAATGCCATGTATTTTGACCAACACTGAAAGTGCTTTTCCTAAGACAAGCTACAAAGAAAAGTAATACACTAGAGAAAACACTAAAGAACCCCTTTCAACCCTGTTTCCACTGGGTACATTTTGAAGAAGAAAAGGTAAAATCTCATTTCTAAGTGACATTACATAAGTTTCTCAGCTATCAGTATGAAACAGATTCTATGAGATATTGCAAAACATCGGTACAACTTATACATACTTACACATAACGATTAGCTTCCTTACAACAATGAGAGTGACTAAGTTCCAAACAGAAAATGTAATGAAAGAAGGATCTCTAATTCAAGTAGGATAAATTCTTTTCCTACTTAGTAGAATAAAAGATGAAGAATCAACAGGCAAACGATGACTGACTTTGCTCCAAAATGCGTATTGTATCTGCAAATTGTAGTATTGTATCTGCACAAATTATCATTTTATCCCATAAAATTGCCTTAATATTACAATTCACGCAGAAACACACTCATCCTGCTGCTTATCAGTTTAAGAATCAGAACTGATATCAAAGTCATCTAACTTAAAAAGAATTAATAAGAGTTTCAAAACACCTATGCTACTTCGTTTTCGGTCGCTGGGTTACTAAATGATTTTGAAACAATTATGCAAAAACTTCTGCTATATAAAAGCTATAATACTCCTTTATCTCATTATCGTTTAAATGTTAAATACTCCATTATAGAGGTAAATTGGGTTTAAAATAGAATGTTTCCAGCAGAAGAGCATAAAACATAAGGTTAAATAGAGTGAGGAACCAGGGCTACAATTTGTGGTACGAAGTTTGCTAGCCATGGATTGATCTTTTGATATACTAAGAAAGCCAGACCCTCTGACGTGCCCTATAGAGAGTAAGTATACTGATCTGGAACAAAAATTATGGGAAACAGCTGTTAAGTGACAGAAGAAATGTGCATTGGACCACCAGGCTGTCATAAATATTGCACTCAATCAGAAAGCATCTGTCTTTTCATTTCCTTTTCAGCAATCTCTGCATTGTATTTAATCTGTGCAGAAGGCTTCTCCTAACAGGTGCAACAATGTTTACAAATTGAAAACGTTATTTAAATGAAGCTCACAACTAGAGATGTTTCAATTAACAGGGCAATATCTTAAGGAAGGAATAATTCTAACATTTGGTAAATCCATAGATTGCTTTGCATTTGTGAAATCTAATTATTGGAAAATTAGAGTATAGACGCCAAGAAAAGCTTAAGACAAAAGGTGCTCTAAGCAATTTTATGCAATATATTAGCATCCAGAGAAACTACAGGGAAAAGATACTGATGGGAATAAGGAGAACATGAAACATTAGGAATAGATATTATAAAATGTCATGTTTCATCAAAAAATTATTTTAGAACTAATAATGTCATCTACGTCCATAAAAAGTGACACCTGTTCCAATAGTTTATTTTCATACAGTTAAATTTTTTTCCTATTATCATCATTCATTTGTTGAACTTGAATATAACAGGCCCATAAACAATTTTAGCGCATAAAAAAATTTAGTAGAAATACTTTTGCACTATAATCACCCAAGTAAATTTAAATAGACAATTTCTTCAAAACCGTGAGTAGAACCATAAAATCAGCTCCCTTAGAACACATGTATGTTTTAAAGTGAATGGGAATGTAGAATTATCAACTCTTTTACGCAAAATGAGTGCAGAGACGATGAACTCAGTTCCTACGGAGGCCAGGCAGGTAATACAGGTGACACAGTCTGCCAAAATACGTGGCCTTTTAGGCTGATCATCATATTTCCCAATTTTTGATAGAAACAGGTATTGAAGAAATACTCTTCTTAACTGTACTCTAGGACAAACAACATGACAGACTCTTTAATAAAGAACATGGAAGGCTGGTGGGTAATTCACAATTTAGCTGATTGTTTCCATGGAAAAAAAGAACCCAATGTTACCAGAAATCCAGTTTTTCAATACAGTGCAGGACAAACAAAATACATCCGTGGACTGGATCTTGCTCTTGGGCTTCCAATTTGTAACCTTTCATGTAATAGTTAGGAATATGGGTTTACTGTTAAAGAGACCTGAGATCACATTCTATCTTGGCCATTTATTAGCTTTATAACCTTGGATAAGCTACTTGATTTTAAGCTCCATTTCATCCTCAGCAAAGAAAGTGTTAATAATAATAGCTGACTTATAAGGATATTACAAATATTAAATGAGATGAGGTAAAAATCCTTAGCACAGAAAGTACTCCATAAGTAGTAGATATTACTTTCATTGTATGTATAATATATATTATATATTGCAAATTCATGTAAGCCCTATTTTCCTTATCTACTTCACTAATTGACATAGGATAAATATTCTTTAATCATGGAGAAAGGCTTTCAATGTTTATAATTCTTCTTAATAACTGTATACATACATTTATGATGGGTTAACACAGAAAGTAAAGGTTATTATCTGCTCTTTGGAGAGTTCACCACACAAAATTATTTCATCTCAAGCATTCATATTTTGTAAGGGACAAATCCATTAAAAAATTTGTCTGCACTAAAGCAATATAAACAAGGTCATTTTTTATAAAGCATAGGGGATTCTCTTTTAATTACTTTTTTGGAGACAAATATAATAAAAACTTATTTTGATGATGGGAGTTAGACATTCTGGATATAATTTAAAAAGCAGACTAGCTCCTTCAGACTCAGCCAGTTGTAGCAGATAGACTTTAGCCTTAGAAATTTCACGGTAATAATAGCACCTTCTTAGAACTTGACTGGGACCTGTTTCCGTATCTTCCTCCCACTGACAGCTCAGATCCTCCAGCTGATCCTCATCAAATTGCACCTCTTTGGGCTTAGAGGCTTGTTTTCCTTAGCAATTAACAAGCTCCTCCCTTCCGCTAATGTGTTCTCATCTAAAAAGTTTAGAAATTCTCCCACTGATATGTTGGACCTACAGTCAGACAATGATATTTGTGATGATAATTGCCATTGATGGGGGCCTTATTATATGCCCGGATGTTAGCTAAGCCCTTTACATTCATAGTCTCATTTACCCCTTACCATGACTCTATAAAGTAGATTCCATAAGTATACTAAGGTTCTCATCTGTAAAATAATTCTGAAAGAGGTTAAATCATTTGTCTAGTAAGTATCAGAGTCAGGAGTCAATTACGGTTCCATTCCTATGGCTATCCTATACCGCCTCTCTAAAGTTTTGGCTTAAAACTCAAGCAAGATGGGGGGCTGGCCCGTGGCCGAGTGGTTAAGTTTGCGTGCTCCACTGAAGCGGCCCAGGGTTTCGATGGATCGGATCCTGGGCGCAGACATGGCACCACTCATCAAGCCATGCTGAGGCAGCATCCCACATAGCACAACTAAAAGGACCCACAACTAAGAATATACAACTATGTACTGGGGGTCTGTGGGGAGAAAAAGGAAAAAAAATAATGTCTTAAAAAAAAAACCAAAACTCAACCAAGATGAATTAGACGTGTGTTGAGTAAAAGCTATCATTCGACATGTCAACATGACAGGAGCTGGATGGGTTGAGATGGGTGGATGATAAAAGAGGTATTAAAAGATATTAGACAGGAAAATTAATAATGAGTTAATTTCTTAATACATCAATTTCATTAAAGTGCATACAGTGGGCTTAGTAAAAGAAAAGATACCTTTACACATTTAACCCATTTTTAAACAACAATAGCACATGAAAATCCAAATTTAGAAAACAGATATATCACAATGATTACTTTTGCATTACCCAAGAACTCATCTCACCACAATAAGATCCACCCCGAGTTTCTCCCTCCATGAATTTAAGTTGTTAGTAATAATTAGCTCTTTAGGAACTAAGGGGTGGAGGGTAGAGGGTTGCAGAGAAACATCAAGCTAAATATTGCTAAAAAGCTATCAGAAATTAAAATACTGCATATCTGAAGCTGAACCTATAAAATACAATTTAAACACAACTTTTCAAGAACATCTATAATTGAAATACAAAGCAGGCTTTATTCTATTTTCCAACTACTATTTTGTTAATGTAATAATTACTTCAAGCAGGCCACCCCTGAGGCTTTCAAATAGCTCCCAATGATTCATACACAATTCGTAAAAGAAGGTAGAATATTTAACAGGTTTAGACCTACAGAGAAACAGTTTCCTGTGACGTACTTCTGAGAAAGATTAAAAGATTTGAAGTCCAACAGATGGATGGACACAGGCTTAATTAAGGTGAATCAGGCCTCTGTGACATTTTTTGGAAAAAAGCTTCCTATCTTCAGAAAAAAAGAAGTATCTTTTTTGGCAGACAAACTATTGACAAACTTCGGGCAGCTAATCCACAAGACTCACACAACGATACATTTCCCCTTGGGCAAAGAGAGGAGAATCTATTGCACATGTCATCTGTTTCTGTGACTACTGAAGATTACAATTATGTTTTGATGTTAAACCAACTATTGCAAATTTCTTGGTGCAAAGCACACTGAAAATGTGAGTGACAGTATAAATCTTTTTAAATTGAATTCAAGCTATTGAAAAGAGCTGACGTTTTCAAATATTGTTACAAAGCCTCTGAAGAACAAGAACAGCTCTCAATGCAGCAGCTTCCTATGGTGACCTATTGATAAGAAAGACAATAGCCAGGATGAAAGCAAATTCCGCATGTCTGCTCTATTGCGTGTGTGTGTGTGTGTGTGTGTGTGTGTGTGTGTGTGTGTGTTTTGCATGTTTAGGAAGAATCACCTCTAACGCTTTGATGTCCTCATAAGCAAACTGCACCGTGGGAACTCCAAGATGGTTGATGAAATAATCAGCATCACCTCGTATCTGTACGGAACTGACATTCGTTCCTGGGCAGTGAGCTCTTCTGGAACAGTTGAAATTACTTTTCTGAAAAACATAATTTAAATTGTTAGCACACACACCATGCTTCTTGGGTCATCCCAAAATCAATGCTCCTCAAAATGTAGTTCAAAGAACAGTAGCATCAATGTCACTCAGGAACTTGTTTGAAATGCAAATGCTGAGGCTCCACCCAGGTCCTCCCTAATGGGAGTCTTTGGGGTTGGAGCCCAGGAGCCTGTGTGGCAACACACCTCTCTGATTCTGATGCTCACTGAAGTGCAACTAGCACTCGCCTAAATCAAGCTTTGTTTGCTGTTGTTGCCTTAAAAGCTTTTTTATCATAGATTTATTATGAATTGTAATGACTTAAATTTGAAATATTTTAAAAGAATGTTGAGTCCTTGAAAAGGTTTAGAGTATTTTGCTTTTTTTTTTTTTCATTTTCCCATAAATTTAAAGGATGGCTTGGTAGGCTATAATTTCATTCATCTTAAAGAGTTTTTCAAAAACAGCAGAAGAAATTTTCTCTATTTCTTCTTAAAAGTCTATTTCTACATGTCTTAAGAGTATATGCCAACAAATATTGTGGGCCATAGAGAATCAAAGCTGAGTGCAACCTGTGGGGAAATATAAGATGATAGACTAATATTTCTTAAACTAAGAGTTGGTTAGCATGCAAAATCAATAACAATAGCTTTACAAAAATTGAACAAAAGATAGTAAAAAAAATCAAAAACAGGTAAACTAAGGGTTTCTATAATTAATGTTGATTAAAAATGTCTTCTTTAATAAAATTTCTGGGGCTGGCCCTATGGCCCAGTGGTTAAGTTTGCACAATCTGCTTTGGCGGCCTGGGGTTCGCCAGATCGGTTCCTGGGTGTGGACCTACACATCACTCATCAAGCCATGCTGTGGAGCCATTCCACATTGAAGAAGTAGAATGACTTATGTCAACGAAAATAATCCATAACCAATCTATAAATGAAAATTTGGGTGAGGTTATTCTGAGCTGAAATCTGAGGACCATGGCCTGGGGCCTTTCTTCCCAAAGGAAGAAAGGGCACCGAAGAAGTGGGGTGCACAGAGCAGTTATATACCCCCAAACAGGGTGTTTCACATAAGATTGAAATGTCCCTCCCACAACAGTCACAAGATTGCCCTGTCAGTACAGCACTTGATGGACACAGCAGGTAGTGGATCTGCCATCTTGGTGGGCGTAGCAGGATGCAAGTCTATTGTCTCGAGCTGGGCGGCCACAGGTGAGCGCAGCAATCAGTTCCTAGCCTAAGGAAAGATGCTTAATCCTTAAGGGAATGCCAACGTTGGGAGGGGGAGGGAAGTTGCACCTTTATCTCAAGGGTCTTTGTTCCTGCCATAGGGAATATCTAAAGCAGAAATACAATGCATGCTCAACAGCCATGGTCAGGCTCTTTTGGAAAGACGAGGTCAGGCCGAATTAGGTTTATACCAAATGGCTTCCTCATATTCTCCAATATATCCTATTGCTTGCCATTTTTATTTGTCACTTACAACTAGGATATACAACTATGTACTAGGGCTTACTGGGGCTTTGCAGAGAGGAAAAGAAAGAGGAAGACTGGCAACAGATGTTAGCTCAGGGCCAATCTTCCTCCCCAAAAAGTATAAGATAATAAAACAAAATAATAATAAAATTTCCAAAAATCTAGAATCTTTCCGAGATCCTGTTGTCTCAAGTGTGAAACATGGAAGAATACCAATCTCCTTATCAGTAATCATGAGGGAAGTGAGACAATAGCATAACAATATCATATTTAATATCAGGCAAAAATTATGTATTCAGTACATATTTGCCATTGAATCAAGACATGGACTCTTCAGTCTCCCCATACTTCTTTGGTGTGACATAATTCCAAAAATACTTTTAAATATAATACATCAAAAGATTTGGAAATATGCAGTTTAATATTCATAAAATGAGTTGTTCCAATTTTTTTAACTACAGTGTTAGATTTTTCAAATGTAAAATAATGGTTCAATATCTATCCAATTTTCTTTGCGGGCATAATAGAAAGATCTTTGCAATGAAGTTAAAATCAATTAAAATGGAAAGGCTGTGTGAGTGTTTACAAACAAGGCAAGATTTTGGCTTAATGTGATTTACAAATATCTTGGGTAATTAAGCACTTTACAAAAAGAAAGTAAAAAGCATGTTCTACCACAGAGTCTAATCAGTGGCAACCTAATGCTTTTTATGGTGACTCTCACCAAGTTGTTTCTTTTGAAAGCCTAATTTTCTGAAAGGAGAGTTAATCCTTTTTCACTTCCCAATATACGCCTGGGGCGAAGACTCCTGAAAGTTTTATATCAACCTGGGGCAGCGTAGGTAGGATCTTAAATGTTCCCAAAGACCAGCTACCCTTAAGTACTAAATCATGAAAAGCAAACTACTTCATATCATGCAAAAATCATCCCAAGTGTTTTTGAGATCTAGCTGTTGAAAACTGGCCCCTTTAAAGGTATTTGTTTAGCTAGTATAGAATTTTTTCTAATTGAGTTGGAATGCCTTGGGCAGGCAAGACATTTACCATTGTCCCAACAGTAGTGTTTTCTGCTCAGCCTACTTCACTCATTCAAATTTACTGAATGGTGGCCTAGAGGTATTTGAATTTGTGAAACTTAGATTGTTGAACTTATTCATGTTATTAAGGAGGATTGGACAGAATCCAGTCTTTTCTTCCCCAGATGCCTGGCCAAGGAAATCGAAATCATTTTTATAAATGGTTTACTTTCCCTTTACTGCAGCAACATCTATGTCTATTTGAGACATGGATCCCACTCAATATCAATGGAAATATAGGTTTGGCTTTAATTTCATTTTGCACACATAATTCTTAATATCCTCTGCAAATATGAGCCATGCTCCTTAGATAGAAATTTTTTTCTCAACAGAAGAATGGCATGGATCAAAAATTGACAATTCTAAATTTGACAATATATGTCTCTGAAAGAATTAAACTTTTAAAAATAAACGTGGTACTTAAATATAATATTTGATATTATTTTCTTTCAGTTATCATTGTTATATAAAAGCTTCCCTCTGACAAAAAGTATCAGCTTCCCACACGTGCAAGTTCCTAAGAGGCACAAACGGCCCTACTCCAAGCAGGCCTGCATTCTGTGTTTCCTCTAACAGATACACAAAGCACAGTTCTTGTTTAGCCCCGCCTTTTTATTGGGCCAAGGCTTTTGAAGCCAGTACAAATTCTCCTCTAGTCTCTGTTCTTGTCAGGGCTACTCCCACTGTATAGCTTTAATATTTCCCTTGCATTCTGTTTCCCTGATTCCTTCTAGCTACATCACTATTTGCATGTTTTGTATTTTCAGGCAAATCAAAAGGCAATATCCAGCCTTCAAGATTACATTCCCTAAAATACTTCTGCATTCTTTTCCCTACTCTGACTTGCTTTACATCACCCACTTATCGAAAAGTTTATCTTTCCCCTAAGGGTTTGTACTGCCACCTCTGTCATATGTAAACTCTTTTTGTAAACCAACTAAATGGCAATGGAACCAGCATCATCTAGGATTGTTTTAAAATCATATTTTGAAGGTTAAGATCTATTAAACCACATCTATGGTGCTAAAAATGTACTATTTATTAAGGGAGGATAGAGTACAGAACAATAGGGTTGTGTGATCCAAGGAATAGCTGGGGCCTATAAGCTAGGAGCACTTGGCTATTGAGTGTCATGTCAAAATTAAGCCCAAAAGAAAGGTAAAAGCTTCAAGAAAGCCAATCCAAGAATGGGGCATGAGGGACAACACAGAGTTCCCTGAGGAGCCCTCCTGGGGCCTGATCCTTACCTACTGAGCCCAGAGTTCCCTTGTAAAATTCTGCAGAGGATTTATCTTAGCAGTCCACTACTTTTCTCCTCTCTCTCTCTCCACCTCATTCTCTACTGCCTACTCCTGTTTAACCACTGATGAGGAGAGCAAGCACATCACCCTCAAGTCTTATTTTGTTCTTTTGTTCCTAACCAGTTTCAGAGTAAAATAGGATTAAAAAGAACACAGTTTTCAGATTGGATTGTTTTTCCCAAGCCATTTTGTTCTAGAGATTTCCCTTAAGAGGAGAACATTCCTGGCACAGAAACTCTATCTTCTAAATCTTTTTCTTATTCATCACTTTAAAATCCAGGCCAAATTCATAGATCTTAAGTGACCCTAAATCTATATTCTACCCTAATGTGAATTGATTTCCTACACAGCACTTCAGTGAATTATAATAGATCCATATCAGGTAATAGATACTGATCTACTCAACCCCTGTAAACACAAATATCTGACAGGAAAGTAGAAAGAAACTTTGATTTCTTCATTTTGCTAGAAGTTAGCCACCATGGTAAAGAGAAGGATGGTAACAAATTTGTGCAGGTCAATTAATTTTTTAAATTTATTTACAAGGCTGAGTAAATTCAAATTAAGTATTTCATCTAAGGAGTTCAAAATGCTCCATACTTAACGTTTGATAACAAGCATTTTTATTCCAGTTCATAAAGTAAGCAAGTTCAGGCAAAGGTCGTAGTTATGTCACTTGTTTAATTTCCTACAAGTCGGTTGAGGACCCGAAATGAAATCACTGTCTCAATCCTAAGGCTGCAGGCTCTTTGCAAGTATACTTTTAAGCTAAAAGACAAAACCTCATAGTAGATGATCATATAAGTGAAATATAAAGAAATTAAGTTGACATTTGCATTAGTTGAATAAAGACACCAAGACACATTGGTAAGTTTCTAAAGTATTTAAAAATCTGTTTAATAATTCAAACTTTTTATTTCTCCCACATTGTTTTCCCCTGCACATGTTCACACTACATAGATAAGAAATCTAAGTTGATTATTCAAATAGCAAGAGAAGCATAACATTCAAAATAAAAGTTCCACATTCTACACATTATAGGAAAATTAAAGCTTTTTTTTTCATTTCAGTATTATTCTTTTAACTCTAGTTGTGTAAAAACAACTTATCTCCCTAATCTTACTGGTTTTCACAGTATAGCAATG